GGAGAAGAGAACGTTAAGAGGTGATATGATAGCCCTCTTTAAATATTTAGAGAGATATTGAGGATGGAGCAAGTTTGTTTTCTGCTGCTCCAGAGACTAGTACATGGAGCAATGGTCTCAAATTGCAGGAAAAGAGATTCCATCTAAATATTAGGAAGAACTTCTTGACAGTAAAAGCTGTTTGACAGTGGAGCACACTCCCTCGGAGGTTTTTAAACAGAGGTAGTTGGCCATTTGTTGGGAGTGCTTTGATTGTTTCTTCCTGCATGGCAGAATGGGGTTGGACTGGATGACCCCTTGGGATCTCTTCCAGCTTTATGATTCTATGGTCATCCCCAACCAGCACAGCTGCCAGTGGGGAAGGCTGGCAGGTACTAAGTCCAACAACTTCTGGAGAGCTGGACTCTGCCCATCCCTGTTGTAGAGCATGGTGACTGCCTTTTGCCTTTGTGACGTCTCCATCGCTCAGAAGTGCTGCAGGGCCGTGCCGTGCCGTCCTTTGTTCTTTTTTGGCAGACGCATTTCTTGGTTTCTGACAAAGTAATTGAGATTTTGACACTGGGAATTTCTGGCGCTTGTCTAAATTAGGACAATTAAGAGACATCATTCTGTTTGTCTCCTCCGGCATGGTTCAGTGTGCAGGCTGTGCCATTCTGCACCACTGAAACCGGCTTTGCTAGTCCTGGGGAAAAGGAGGAGGAATGAGGGAAGCAAAGACGGATTGCCAATGATGCAACTAGAACAAATGCTCCAGAACCTTCAGCACCATGGCAGCATTGCACACAGAGATGGCTCTGGTCCTGTCAGGTTCCCAAAAGGGAAATACTTTCTGTAGGCCATAGCTAGGGAGGTATTCAAACAGGACTGGGATCGAGGTAAAGACAAATTATTTTGCAGGTGTGAATCCAGCTCAGTGCATCTTATGGATGCATCTAGAGCCAGCATGGCATAGTGGTTTGAGTATTGGACTATACTTCTGGAGACCAGGGTTTGATTCCCCGCTCGGCCACGAAGTCCACTGGGTGACCTTGGGCAGGTCACATGCTCTCAGCTTCAGGGGAAGGCAATGGCAACCTCTTCTGAACAAATCATGCCAAGAAAACCCCATGGTTGCCATAAGTCGAAAATGACTTGAAGGCACCCAACAACAAACACTGTGGAAATGATGCGGTTTGGCACCACTTTAACTGCTACGGTTCTGTCTGCCAGGCTCCTGGGATTTAGAGTTTGGTGAGGCACCAGCACTCTTTGGCAGCCAAAGCTAAAGACCTGGCTAAACTACAAATCCCAGGATTCCACAGAGCTGCAGCACTTAAAGTGGTGTCAAACTAGATTACTTCTACAATGTCGATGCACTCTATATGGGAATAATGTTGACCTGCTTGCTTGCGTCTAGTCTTTTAAATCAGTTTCTCCAAGCTTCAGCTTGTAAATATCCATCCTTAAGTCGGAGGCCAGGTTTCCATTTCTTGCTGCAAAGAATCCAGCTGCAATTCTACGTCTGCAAAATTCATTCACAACAACTCCTCGAAGCAACTGGCTACACATAGCCCTTTAAAACCAGAAGCCTCAGTTCATCATCTCTCAGGTGAGCTGGGCCTGATGCAAGTCTAGCCCTGCTAACACATTCACCTGTGCCTTTGCACAGAATCAGTGGGGCTTGGAGACACTTTCTTACACTTCTTTTCCCTTTGCATTTCTTGCGACTGTTGCAAGGGCATCTCTTGTTGTCCAGCCTGTGAGTATAAATCTCTTTATGACCCGTTTTGGAAAGAAATTTTGGGAAGGAAGGAGGGCTGTTTTCGGAGAAACATACAATTCTCCCAAGGCTTGCTTCTTCTGCCATGTTGGTTATTTGGCTTTTTATGCATAGGCTTTTAATTGGCTTATTATTTATTATTGATTGATTATATGCAAGTTTTGTCTTACATTGTGCTGTTATTTGCTTGTATTGGAAAAACAGGGTCTTAAATACAAAGGGTCCTTGGTATCCACTGTGGTTTGGTTCCAGGACCCTGGTAGATGCTGAAGCCCCATTAAAGACAGTGGCGTATTAAAATGGCATCCCTTATATCAGGGACAGGCAACCTTTTGGAGACCTGGGCCAGTCTCCTGTAGCCCAGGTCTTGGCTGGGCCGAGGGGGGGGGGGAATGGCGGCGCGCGCACCCCCCGCCGCCACGTGCGACCCCCCCGTGCATGCAGCTGCTGCGGCCGCTACCGCGGCCACCGCTGTAGCGCGCGCGGCCGCAGCCGCCGCGGTGCATGTTGCGGCCGCCATTTGGGTAGTCCAAATCGTGGCCGCAATGCGTTTGCGCATGTGCAAGAGTACTGCGCATGCGCAAACGTGGCACGGCCGCCATTTTGACTTCCAAAATGGCGGCTGCAGCGAGCGTGGCCGAAAACGCGCGCACACGTGGCGGCGACAGGGGGGGTGCGCGGCAGCAATGACGGCGGCAACCTTCGGCCTGGGCCGGTAAGTCCGGGGCCTGGGGCCTTAACCGGCCCCCGGGCCGTAGGTTGCCGGTCCCTGCCTTATATAAAATAGCATCATCAAGATTGCTGTTTGGATTTTGTGTGTCTGTATAATCTTTTCAAGCTATGGATGGTGGCGGGATGCAGAATTTGTGGATACGGAGAGCCGAGTGTATATTTGGATGGCTATGGCTTGCATGTGTGTGCCAACATGTGGATGTAGCAGAGGCAGGAATAATGTGGCATTGGTGTGGAATAAGTGCAATGTAGGTTTCACTTATTTCACTGGAAGAGTTAAGCACATCCTTACTACTGAGCATGAAGGAAATTGCCTTCTAGCGGGTCAGAGTATTCCATCACAGCTGCGATTCGAGCAAGACGGATGGACTAGTTGGACAATGTTTGGGGTGAAGGTATCTGGGGTGGGAAGGAGAAGAAGGAGCACTTCTCAATGGTACAGGCTTTTGATGCAAAATTGGACCCCCTCCAATCCTGGAATCGTCTTGGTGTCCAATCCTCGTGGAAACTCCCTTATGCATGCAGGTGTACTGTTCTGGCCATATTGCAACAGAGGCTTTGGTCAAGCCTC